CAACAGGCTTCGATGTCGACGTCTTCGACGTCCGGCGTGTCTATAGACACGGTGGTGGGGAAAGAGAAGTCAACGGATCGTCAATCGCCTGACAGCGATTCGTTCGAGATGGTCGATAAACCGGATATCATCGACGATTTCGTGGTCATAGAGGAAGTTGGCAGAGAGGCTGAGGAATACGATTCCGAAGGGAAAAGTATACGCATCAGTTCTATACCCCAGGTGATCGGCAAACAGTACGATCGGGATCTTGAGAATCTTATAACCGAGAACAAGGAAGATTCGCAAGTGTCGACGAGTCAAGCGTCGAAGAACAACGAATTGTTCGACTTCGAGTCGGAGGAGAGCCCGCCTCAAGTCTCGAACGACGATCAATATTCCCAATCGTACTCGGACGACGAGCAATACGAAGGGGGGAAGAAATGGATAGAGATGCAATTCCACGCGGATCCACGAGTCTACGACATCGAGTACGATCGAGGTCCTTTGGAGGATATAAAGGAAGAGGAGATCACCGACTTCGAGGCTGGCAGCAGTAGATTCGGAAGCTTGGGCAGTCACAAGGAATCGATAGGAAGCGTGGGTAGTATGCGAGGCAGTTTCGGGAGTACGCCCGACTACGATGTCCTGGCCGGTAGGAAATATTTCACCAGGCCATCCGATCACGACAACGTGTCGTTGAGCTCGTTGCAAGAGTTCGAGAACTTGGAGAGCGCTGTCGCGGCTGAGAATTCTAGGAAATTGCAATGCGGCTCCCACGATTCCGTCAATAACGGTAGTCTTCCAAGGAGGTACATGACCAGCCGATCCGGCCACGGCGACGACATCTCGTTATCTTCGTTGAAGGATTTCGAAGGGTTGGAGAGAGCGTGCAGGGAGGCGCATTTAATCGAATTGCGCGCAAGGGAGGAGGAAGACTTGTTAGAACACGAAAGCCCCGAGAACAAGTACAAATTGGAAAGCCTAACGCGAACGAGGATCGATACGAGCACGGCCGGCTCGTTCAACGCGAGCACATCCGGCTCGGACGATTACGAGAAGAGAATAAAAGAGATCGACGAGATAATACGGATAGCCCAGTCGAATGTGGAGAAGTCCGATCGGCAAGACGACACGACGGAGGACATTTCGCAAATCGAAATCACGGACGCTGAGAAAATTGGATCTCAGCCAGGTGTGCAACCTGTTTCGAAACCGGAAGAGGAGCTAGAGGAACCGACCCCGTTGCCTCTTCAAAGAGAGAGCAACGTAATGGAGACGAGTACGGATTCCCTCGAGCTGGAGGATAATATGGATAAGAAACATCACCAATTATGCCGAAGTTCCGACTCGTTAGAGATGAAAACCACGCTAGATTTTCCTTCGTTGAGTTCGGACTCGTTGAACAATGTGCGAGACGCAAGGGAGATGCAGTCGGACGTAGCTGAACACGCGAGCAGCGTTAGACGTATTTCTTCGGACTCGTTGGACATGCCTTTGCTCGAACAACAGGATTCCGAAAGACCGAGCAACGAAGATGATCGTTCGGATGGTGTCACGTCGGACAATTCCTTGGAGCACAGATCGGATGCAGGGGAAACCGATAGAAGCGATAGAGCGAGGACAACACCGAGCACCAATACATAGGAATATTTTCGTAGGTACGTATTATTGTTATGTAATATTGCATGTAATAAAAATTGGTATTTTAAGATTTTAAGAAAAAGAAAGATTGTTACTTTTAATCATCCGTTAATTCGCAATATTCGTCTCGTTCCAGATAGTGGACCATCAAAGTGAATTTGTTACAACGTTGGTTCTTAAGGCTACAACGATGTATTATTGAACCAATTGAAATGCTTTACATAATACAGCATAATATAATGAAAAATGAAGTACTAAAAGAAATACTTGCGCGTTGTGCATATGCAAGGTATTAAAATGCATTTATCTTTATTTTATGCGACGTTTTATAAGAATATAATTGTTTTATGATGCTTAAGTGAAATAGTTATTATCTTTAAAATATAGGATTGTTATTAAAATGAGGTAGAAACACGAATGACGCTTATTCATTTCGTATTAAAATCTATCAAGAAAAAAAAAAACAAAAAAAAAAAACAAAAATTGTAATTGCTTTCAATCTACTTGTTTCAATAATTATGAATTATCTTGCTTCGTTGTTCACGATTATTTACAGTAATTAAGTTTATATCGCAAAAATTGTACTTTTTAAATGTTATTCTCGTATGTCCTACTTGTATGATAATACTTATATAAAAAAAAAAAAATGTCATGTTTTTGTAAATTTTTCGATTATAACATGTCTTTGTGACTACGCTTTCTTAAGATGTTGACAGTTATGAACACTTTATATTTGCATACTGATTTTCAAAAAACGTTTACGAGCTCTAATACTCGTTAATCTTAATTGCAAGTGTTCACGAAAGAACAAAAAATATATTAATTAAATAGAAAATTTTATATACAAACCGTAATGTATAAGATCTTAGGGAAAAAAAAATATATATATATAAATATATATATATATATTATCAAGAGAATGCATTCTCTGATTAATGTATGATGCATATGTGCAAATGTTATAGACATTTTTTGTATGCGAAGTTTTAACCAATTATGAGATATTGCTTTAATCTATTTGCTGATAATGAATTCGATGTATTTTATCGATCGTAAGAATTTTTAACGTTATGTCAAAATTTTAACGATGTTTTTCATTTATCTGTTTTTCATAATCTGTTTTTTTTTTCATCGATGAAAATATAAATCTATATGAACAAAATAAAATATTCATCATTTATTGAAACCCCAATGTTCTTCGCGATAGTTGCTTGGACTACATATTTGATAGAAACTTCAATTATTATAGCAATAACTTTGTCTATATACAATATATTATAAGTTTAATTAATAAATGCAAAAATCATGCGTACAAAACGTTGTAAAATAAAATGAAAAGAACAATGAAGAAATACAAAATACATGCTATACACACGAAAGTCTTTTTTCGGTAGTTCCTTGTAACCCTTTATTTAAAAAAAAAATCGTATTCTCACTTACTTTTTATATAGGTATACACAATCAACGTAATGTTTTGTTTCATATCATAATCCAATAAACATGTTCTTTATAAATATATATGTATATCTTTTTCATACTAAAATTATTTGACAAGTAGAAAAAAACGCGAAGATAAATGAAATTGTAAATAAAATTTTTAAATTAATTCTACGTATATATATATATATATATACATATGTACTACATATATAAATTGTTTATAAATAATATCGAATCTTTGAAATAAATTTATTACAGAAACGAACAAATATACTGAATAGAGTAGTAGAAGATAATTCAGTAGTATTAGTTTTGTAAAAAATATATTTATTATTTACATACAAATAGATAATCAGTATTTTTTACATACTTTGATAACAAACTAAAGATATATTCGCTTTCAACACTTCTCAGCAGGAGTTTTAAGTATTTTAATTTTTCGTTCTAATTTAATACAACTGAATGAATAATAAGATAATTATAAGACTTACAAGACTTACAAATAATTATAAGATTTATTAAACTTAAAATGTAATTATTGTTATTCATTTTTTAAAGGATTCAATTATTTTTTATTTATTTTGTGATGTTTATTATTTATGAAATATGTATAATAATGATATTGAATAAAATATTATTAATTACATAAATATGAATGTGATATTGAATATGAAAATAATTATATATAAATATTCTCACCATATCTTAAAAAAAATTAGATTAATTTTTTTTTATTAATTTTTTATATTTATAGAGATTTTGTTGCATGAATAAAATATAAAATCCAAAAGCAAAAAGATCCAAAATATATATAATAAATATATATATTTATTGAATTATCTATTAACGTGAAAATTATATAAATTAAGCATCGAATGAATTCTATAATGGCAACATATGCCGATTCATCGAACAATAAACCAATAGTGGTAAGAGCAAGAAAATTATTAATAAGCATAAATCCAGATGATACGGTCCATAAATTCTAAAAACGAAGGTTCATTGATTATTTTATATTCAATATTTCAACAATTATATTAATATAAGTTTGACAAATATTAACAATTAATATATTTAAAAAATATTTGTGGAAATGAATATTTTAATTACGATATTAAAACGTACAAAAAAATTAGATAAAAAAATTAAATTCTCACCTGTGTTTCGTCGTATATACGAAAATGATTGTAAAGAACTAAGAAAAAATGTACAATTATGTACAAATTTTGCCATATTGGTATATTTTTATCATATTTAATCCTAGATGTGACCTATTAGAAATTTCATTATTATTATTATTGTTGTTGTTATAAACTTGAAAATAAATGTATATAATATATTTTATAATTATGAGATTTATTGATTATAAAAATGCATAGAAAATAAACTTACATTAACTTTGTATTCATCTAGACCTAAACGAGGAGCACCTGGAAACCAACTAGGACCTTTCCAAACAACAGCTAATTTATTTGTAAGAGTTGGTATCTTTATACTTTTTTTAATTAATTCTATAGTATAAAAGATCTATAAAATTTCAAGATATTTATTAAATAATATATTTTATAAATAGTACATCTTATATAAATAATCAATAATGAAATTATTATACTAAAAATAAATGGTATGTATTATTATTATAAATTATTATAAATAATATATCATTATTTCAGTTTATGATTTGTATGATAATTATATAATTATGAAAATAAAAATTGACATATAATGTAAATATTTGATAATATTTAATACAATGTAATTAATTCATAAAAGAGCAAATGCTTATTGAAGCGTATGAATTAGCTTTGTAAATAATCAATCGATAATATATTTGCATTATTAATAATCATATTTATATAACAGAATGATTATTAGATAAAGATATAGATAGATATAGATAGATATAGATAGTAGAATGATAAATAATTATTTTCATGATTCTCACCTGTAAATAAAGAGGATTAAAAGATTGAGGACTGACAACTAAACCATAAATTATTTCATCTTTTTCTTTTTCAAACGTTCCAAATAATTTATCCCATACGATAAGGACGCCACCATAATTTTTGTCTAAACAATATAAATTGCAACCTATAAATAATAATAATTTTAATTGATGATATTACTCACAGCTCAATTGAATATATTTATTATTTATTTCTTACCATGATGTACACGATGATGTTTTGGTGTGTTAAATATTAATTCTAATGGTCCGAGATCATCAATGACAGTCGTATGAATCCATAATTGATAAATTAAGTTGAATTGATTATGCGCGATGAAATGAGATGGCGGTATAAATAATGCAAGAGGTAGATATAACATCTGAAAACAAATTGTGTATTCTTAAATAATACTAATAATACTTTTAATATCATATTGTCTCATAATCGAACATTATTGTATATCTTCTATTACAATTATATATAATTTAAATATATTTTGTAAAGCGATTTTTGTATATAATATATAATACAATATATGTAATATAATACAAATATTTTTTCATAATTTCAATTCAAAATCAACTAAAAAAGTTTAAAAAATTCTTATAACTCGTTATTTTAAATTATAATTACATCATTGTTATATCGTAGTTATATCGTTGTGATTTATTAATTGAATGGATAAGTGCCCAGATATGCAGAACATCTATTACACCGGTTTCTGTTTATAGCATGAGACATCATTCGCAGGATACCGTAAATGTAATATGAGCGATACTTACAAAATTACACCAATGTTGCAAAATGGATTGCCGCAAACCAACCGCGAGATTGAATTCTTCGCTGCTATGATGTACTTGATGTTGAGCCCATAAAAAATGTACCTCTGTAAATGGGCGAGAAATACTATAAATTTGTCAAATAGGGGATCGACAATCACACACACACATGGTTGGATAGGAATTTAACCGTGGTTACTCCGGTGAACCCAATAGTAACAGAAATCCACCCCCACGGCTGTGACACACCAAGTCCATGCTGAGTCCCAAGGAAGATTCCACAAGCGATATTTCTCATGAATTATGATGTATACGTAATATTCAGCGCCGCGGAAAAAAATACTGGAATGTTCGTTAAAAAAATCTGATTAAATAACTCGTAATAAAAATGAATATAATAATAATAATAATAATAATTTATATTTAAATCATGTTTTCAACTTGGAAAATAATAAAGAGATGTAATATACATTTTTACATTTAAAGTATGATAAGAATAAGTAAAATAAATATATTGACTAAAAATACATATATGTTAAGGTCAATCTTTTCTCTTTTTCTTATCTTTAAATGAAAATTAAAAAAAATTTATGATGCGTCTATTAAATAATAAAAATGTTTTAAAATGAACAAATATAGGAAATTTTAATTTTACATCACCATATTTCACTTATCGCATGATAACTTAACGGCTAAAAAAATATTCATCGTATGCAATATAACAGTACGATTTCTCTTATCATCTTCGTAATCCATAAACAGAGATTTTATAACTGTGACTTTTATAATATTATTTATAGAATATTTTTTCTTTTAATTATATCGAGCAAAAAGAATAACAATATAAATAGAATAATAAAACGTTACCTATGCTTACCGGCCAGTTTCTTGAAATAACCAATGAGATAAAGATGTCATTTGATCGTTCAAACGGAATTTCTTTTTCTTTTTAAATATTAATATAATTTGCTCCAGTATAATAAGGATGAAAAATGGTAACCATACCTATATGTACATTTATTTTGATTGATATAATTATTTAACGCTTGATTATGCAATTGGTAATTTAAACAATAATCAAAACAAAAATATTGTTTGTAATAAACAAAATATTGTTTTGTAATTTAACATAGAAAATTAAAAATAAGATAGAAAATTAAATAATTTTATGGAAATAACAAAATTAAATTTTATTAAGTATATTTATTTTAAAGTTTAAAAAAAATATTTTATATTTAATATATTGAACATTCTAAGTATATATTTAAAATATTATTATTTATAAAAAAATAAATATAAATATAATTACCTGCTGATGATAATCAGGAACTTCGTGCGGGAATTCGAAGATAGTTTCATAAGGGTTAATAAAGTACCACAATTTTCCTGCGTTCTTCAATTCGTTGATCAAATCAACGTTCGAGATATTCATTTTATTTATTAATATATTATTATATTACACTGGTC